GTGATGCTAGTAATACATCATGAGCTTCTAGAAAATTGATGTCCGTTCGTGAAACCTCGAGTGTTTACTAGATGTGCGGTATTCTTGTATATAAGACCACCAAGAAGTGACGGCAACAATGGAATTGAATTGCAGACAGAGATAGAGACGGACAACTGAGTGAAGCGCGTGAATCGTTCGTTGTGAATTATAGCATTTGTTTAAGTTATAGCGTAACTGTGGAAATTAAGTGTATTACAAAGTTGTATTGAGAAAGAATAAACTAGTTTTATTTAAGAAAGGACTTGTATCGCTAAAGTTTCTTCGGAAAGAATTTTTATGGAAAATTAACAAACGAACAGAGACGTAACAATATATCATGACCAAGGTTAGCTTTCTGAAAAGGAGAAATTACAGGCCCAAGTTATGGTTAAAATATAGTATTTACACAGTTTTAGGTTTTTAAAAAAAAAGTATTTAAACTGCAACACAACTTCTTTTTGCGGACAGGTCCCTGTAGTTAAATAACTTATTTTTCTTATTTTTTTGCAAAACAAAAATTTTTTCAAACTCTGCACTTAAATCAGACTTTTACAAACTTCAATTATTTTCAAGAAAACAATTATTTACTAAACAAAATCTCAAATTTGTTGATGTATTTGTATTTAACTCAAAGTTTTAATAGAGAACAGGTCATACACTTTTACACAAAAATTCAACCCCATTCCCAATGCAATAATATACCTAATTTCTCACTTGCCAGAAAAGTAAAAATCATAAATTGGCAGGCAATAATTTTATAGCTGAACAATAATCTGTGGGTGTAATTAACTTAATTTTAAGGAGACTTATTCTCCTAGATAATTATCAAGCATGCATTTCAGAGTTTTTCTTCAATAATTTTCTATATTCTGTTTTTACTGATCAGGAACAGTTCCAAGTCTAAATAAATCTTGTCCAAATGTTGATGTCACTTCTAATTGATAATACCCAATTAACTGACACACATTTGTGTTAATTTAGCTGATCAAATCACTCTCTAACATAAATATATACTAAAATATATTTAAAAACAAGTTGTTAATTCTCAATAACAAGTTAATAATACTATTACAGTTTAATTCTGCATAATGAATGAAAGTAGAGGTGTATTCTGCAAAAACAGATCAATTCTCCATAACAAATTAACATAGGGTCTAAATAACAACCAAGTTCTGCAAAATAAGTTGCAGAGTAGGTCTAACCCGCTACAGTACTAGTATTACTGTTAGTAAATCATACTAAATGCTACACCTTAATAAGTAAATTACTAGTATTAAGTACTAGTAGTAGTACTAGTAATATTAATAATAGTACTTAGTACTAGTAGTATTGGTATGGTTTCACAGTTTCGTGTCAAATGATGCTGAGGTAAGCAACTATTAACAGATACTTATAAGATAATAATTAACTTACATTATTAGTAGTAGTATTTTGAAGTAAACCATTTAAATAAAAAAGAAAACTATATGAGGGTTATAACTATAAGCTAAAACTAGCTTCCAAGTTCCATTAGTATTATACAAACCATAGGTTATATGAAATAGTAATAAAAATATATATGTATATAATCTTACCGACAAATAATGAAGTCTGGAGATGGTTACAAATATAAATTTCAATACAAAATTATAAACGTTACGTTGAGATCTAATTTAAGTTCTAACACTAAGAGCAGAATGGCAGGATAGCACTGTTACTAGTGGTACTCAGTAGTAATCTAACGCCAAGGCTCTTTGTCAAAACTTCTTCAGCTTACACATTTTTGATGGATAAATTTGTTACAAATCTTTGTTATGTTATGACAACAAACTGTCTTGTGTTCAAACTAACTACGCTGTCGTTAAACACAATGTAGATAAGACTTAACTAATAAGACAAAGACACTTTTATCACAATGTTGTACGTCTACACCTCAGACTAGTTGCATTTACCCGGCCAGCTGGAACATACAACGCTGTCAATTTCATAAACTGGTGACACGTTTTAACCAATAGCGCTTATTCTTCCGTCGAACGACTTCCAGTCGACGCATAACATCCAATAGAAATACAAGTTTGGTCGTTCAATGAATATGGTTATGTGACATTTGAGATATTCCGATGCCACTTAGTCGTAAGGGGCGAATAGCAATTGTAGTCATTTCTCAACTTCCTAGTATGTCAAAATAAATTCCCAAAACTACTCTACGTACAAGCATGCGACAAAAACACAGAAAGTAAAGATCACACAATCCAAACGAAAAGATAATAATATTGTGTTTAATATCCATAATCTTCATCCTACAAAAAACGAAACACTCAAAATGTTCAATAAACAAGAAACGTTGACAGCCTACCTGAATCACTAGTTTATCAATACTGAGACAAAGAATGTGAAACTAGATAATCGAAACAATGAAAGAACCCCATTGTAATATTCAAGAGGATTTCACAATAAAAAACAAGAAGAAGAAATAAAGAAAACAGAACAGACCTGAAATTACTAAATGAAACTCTTCTTAATCCAAATTTAACTGAATATCTAACCACCTCAATACAAAAATTAACGAAAAACAAGATGAATCGATTTTTAATAAGACAAATATCAGTATTACAGAATTTAATCAGGTAAGCCATATACGAAATAAATTTAAACATAACTTACTTAGAAATTTACTTGTGGATCATTGCTTGTCGATAAGCCTAAATGTAAAGCTATCTGTGCAGTGCCCACTACGAGTATTAAAACCCGGTTTTGAGCGTTATAAGCCTTCAGACTTACTGCTGAGCCATTTGAGAGCATTCTAGTGGAATTCTACGGCTAGTCGGTCTTGTAAATGAATAGCAGAACAGATGCGATAACCTTACTTCTAACACCACACAACTTTTCTGGCAAAAGACTAAATAGCCATTACTTAATTGATTTTCATAATGTATTCGCCTATTACTCCTTACAAAAAATTACATAAATATAACTCACAACACTATGAATTAATTGTTACGGGAGCTCAAAGCATATCGGGCTCAATTCCGAATTATATTTCCAGAGAAAATGGGTCAAATAGTGACACACAAGCTGTTTATCTTGCTACCTATTTAAAAGGATCAATTTTAAACACATTAAGTAACCTTCCAGCTGAGAGCCATAACACTGATCAAGCATTGATGGCTCATTATCCAATAGCTTTGGAGTGACACTCCAGAAGTATCCAGAGCAAAGTTCCAGGACGGAGTATGGAGGAAAGAAGAAACCTTAAATGAACTTCCGAAAGATTTTCAAAGGCTTACCCTTTCACATAATATTCAGCTGCTACACGTTAAATGATGGATTCATTGGCATATGACCAATATATAG